TTAAAATGCAATTACTTTTTAGGTACAAGAAGTTAAGAAGCTTAGAGCTTGTTTTGTCGCTCATTTCACGATATGAGTAACGGGTCGGTCGACGATCTCCCTCTCCTCTCTCTCATTATGCCGAGCATATGCATCCTAGGAGAGTTTTGAATTGTATATGTAACTATGTAAATATGAACTCTTGGAGGTGTTTTAAGACGTGTTTATGAGCAAAGAAAAAGTGGTTTTGATTGAATATCCAAGGGTTATAAGTGGAAGGAATGTTGTTGATTAGTTGAATAATAATAAAAATATATATATAATCTTTCTAATATGAGGTTTTAATGATCCTAAGTGATATTTTGTGATTAATTGAGTTTTCTAGAACTAAAATGGTTAAATTATACGAAGTTTTTGTAAGGAATTAGGTTAAGAACGCTACATCAAATATGACCAAATCACAATATAATCAAAGTTGGAAATTGAAAAAACAAATTTTAAAAACGATAAATTAATGTAGTAAATTTAAAATAATTTAAAAAAATCAAGAAAAAATTATTTGAAATACATTTTTAATATAAAAATATATTTCGGATAAATTATATATATTAATCATGTCACTATAATTTAAAAGTTATATAAATCTATTTTTAAAAAGGAAAAATAATCATGTTCTAAAAATTTATTCCGAGATCCATATACATAGAAAAATAAATCAAAACTGTCAAGTAAATATAATTTTAAATTAATTGAATGAGAATTAAAAAAAAACAACAAATTAAAGTAGTAAATTTTAAATAATTAAAATAATTAAGAAAAAACACTAAAACAAAATGAGACCAAATCACAATATTATCAAAGTTTGAAAATAAAAAAAAAAGTAAGATTTTTAAAAAATGACAAATTAATGCGAGTAAAGTTTAAATAACTTAAAAAATATCGAGAAAAAATTATGTGAAATACACTTTTTGTAACGCCCCGTCCCGATCATATTTCTCCTACCCAAGTAGAGTACTAGACGAAGCGCGTTACGCCGACATACCCTAAACTCTAAGTAGTTCTCTTATGATATTTTTAAAACTTTAACAAGCACATTACGTATATAACTCCTTAAGATAAAATTTACATCACATAATTAAATATATTAGTAAAATATTACGAGCAATATTCAATTTCTCACGAACTCCATACCTCAAATTTACAAATAAAATAAAAACTAATATATGGTGCCTCACATGAGCCGGTTAGGAGGAGCCACCTGCATCCGTACCAACTTATCCTTTTTCGTCACGACATAAAAAAAATAACAACGAGTGAGCCGAAGCTCAATAAGTAGGGTGATGCACGTGATATGCAATACTCGTTTTGACTTTCCACCATACTCATAAATTTTAATCTCGGGTACCACAGGTATCAGCCAGTCCGCTTTATTTATCATCCGGTGGTCCGCAGATCACCTTCTGCTACAACGGAATTATCCCTCGTTGTAACCACTCGTTAGCGGGAATCCATCGTCTAACAGGTGCAAGCACACAGACTTGATTTCATCCGAGATGATCCTCGGATCATCTTCTCGCTATAACGGAATTACCCCTCGTTGTAACTACTATTGGCGGGAATCCATCGTCTAATAGTGCAGGCACATAGCTTAGAGTACTAGACTACTAATACCCATTTATTTTTAATTCGGTTACCAAACCGTGTCATTTCATGACTCGATGATTTTTCTCAACTTATTCCACCCCCAATGCATGTGATGCACGTGATGACATGTTTAATCACATTCAACTAAACTCGGGTACCAACCCTTTTTTCTTAAGCCATACTCACGGTTCAACCAATACTCGGAATTCACCTGTCGCTCACATACCAATCATGATACTCATAGCGGGAACACAATCTCCACTCCTTAATATTGTTCATTAGTTTCATTAATATTTAAAAGAAGGTCCAAGTCCATTTACTTTAATCCGAGCCCATTAACTTTATCCTAGGTCCATTGACTCTATTTAATTCCATTTTATTTAGTCCAAGATCATTTAGTTTATTCCAAACCTATTAATTTTGTCCAAGTCTCATTTTTTTGGTTTTAGGGTTTATTACCGGGCAACTCCTAATCGAGTAAATAAGTTTCTAATTTCAAAACATAATTAAATCTTATCCATTTTATTTTAGATACTAGACATATTTATTTATAACATATCCAAAAATTAGGTCTAAATACCAAGTACACAATTAATTACAAATTTTTGAAACTTAGGGAGCAATCTGCCTAGTAGTAGTTTGTCTAGAGCTATCTATACTAAATCGGGTATAACTCTTCGTACACAAATCCAATGACTAAGAACTTTTAAAGGGAGTTAGTTGAAACATGGAGGAACAACTTTTATTCTTTAAGTTTCACCCAGAAATTGACCTAAAATCCTTGAACATGTACCCTAAAATTCAGACAGAATTTACTCCTTATCAATACTAATTTATTAGTTCATTCCAAGCCAACTTTAAACATGGTTTAGTTCACTTAAATTTAGTCCAAGTTTAATCCAACCCATCACCACATGCTTGGAAATTTTAAAAAAAATCATAACATCATAAATCATCACAACAAGGCATCCATACATAGATTTATCCCAAACATCAAGCATATAACCAATGAAGATTATTACAACCCATGAAATAAACACTAACAAAATAACTTAAAAAAAATAATTTAAGACATTAATCAGCCAAGAAAATGAAACCTACTTACCTCTTTTAGGTTTGATTAGAATTTTTTTAGCTCTTTTTCTTTCCTTTTTTCCTTTTCTTTCTCTTTTCTTTCTTTCTCTCTTTTTGTTGTTTTTCTCTCTTCAATTTGGCTTCTCTTTTTAATTCTGGATGGCTACGGTTTTTGGCCTAAAATGGCAGCCATTTAACCCTCTCTTTCCCTTATATACCCACCTTTTATCCTCTCATTTATTTATATCATAAGTGTTACAATTTAACTAGGCCAAATGTAAAGTGAAGGAAGCTTGGAAGGAAAAGTCGGCATGTTTTGGAAGTCAAAGGTGATGATTTGGCTTCTAAGCATGTAATTCAAGTGCTTAGGTGGCTAAAGAAAACTTAGGATAAATAAAAACATTAATAAGCTAGGTTAATGTAATTAGACAAAATTTCTTTCATAAAAAATTCGAAAATTTCCATTTTTAAAATTCGAAATTTCTTTTTCTCTAAAATTTCAGAAGTGTTACCTCCTAACCCATCTATACTAAAATGTGCATAACTCTTTCTATATGTATCCAAAGTTTATGAAATTTTATACAGAGCTAGTACACACATAGACAAACAACTTTTATTCTTTACGTTTTTCTCAAACATCAATCTAACAGTATCAAATAAATCTCACAAGATTCGGGCAGATTCTTCTCTCAAAATTCCAGCAGAATGCATTTCGAAACAACCCTCACTATAATTGGTATAACTCTTAATGTATAGGTCCAAATATTATAAAATTTTATACAGGCCTATTAAACACATAGATGAAAAACTGTCATTCTTTAAGGTTGACCCAAAAATTACTCTAAATGCCTCAAATAATTCACACAAAACTCGGGCGGAATATAGTCCTTAAAACACCGATTTTGCATATTTGATTTCTTTAATAATTAAACCATTAATCTTAATCACAATAACTTTAATTTAACATAAATCACATATTTCAAGCATTAATTTCTCATGATGAAATGATAATTATACTTACTCTTAATATACATATATATAGAATTATTCTAATACACGTCGTGTTACGGATAAAGGTTTTTACGAGGGTTACACTTTAATCTAAAAAAGTATTTCGGACAAATTATATGTATTAATCATGTCACTATAATTTAAAATGCAACTATAATTTAAAAGTTATCTAAATCTATTTTTCAAAAGACAAAATAATCATGTTCTAAAAATTTATTCCAAAATCCACATATATAGAGAAATAAATAAATAATATTAGTAAATATAATTTTAAATTAATGGGATGAGAATTAAAAAAAATGACAAATTAAAGTAGTAATTTTTAATTAACAAAAAACACTAAAACAAAATAGGACCAAATCACAATATAATCAAAGTTTCAAATTGAAAAAAAAAATTAGGATTTAAAAAAAAAGACAAATTAATGTAGTAAATTTTAAATAATTTTAAAAAATTGAGAAAAAATTATTTGAAATACACTTTTAATATGAAAATATATTTTAGACAAATTATATATATTAATCATGCCACAATAATCTAAAAATGATCTAAATCTATTTTTCAAAAGAAAAAATAATCATGTTCTAAAAATTTATTTCAAAATCCATACAGATAAAAAAAATAAATTAAAACTATCAGTAAATATAATTTTAAATTAATTAGATTAGAATTTTAAAAAATAAAAAATTAATGTAGTAAATTTTAAATAATAAAAATAATTAACAAAAAATACTAAAATAAAATGGGATCAAATCATATATAATTAAAATTTAAAATTGAAAAAAAAATAATTTAAAAACATGAAAAATTAAAGTAGTAAATTTTAAATAATTAAAATAATTAAAAAAATACTAAAACAAAATGGGATCAAATCACAATACAATTAAAGTTTGAAACTGAAAAAAAAAAGTATAAAAAAATTAAGAACCAAAGTATTATAAAATGACATAAATAGTAAAAAGAATAGTGATTTGTAAATGTGTAAATAGTATTTTGAATAGCAAATGAATAGTAAATAATGATTTTATTGTAGTTTTGTTGATAATAATGTTAGGCTCCTCAAAAAAAAAAATATATATATATATATTAGGCTTCTCTTAACTGCAGCCCACTCTACCTTCGTCTCTCTCGTCGGCAAATTAAAGTGGAATTCCAATATTTTTATTTTTTAATCTATATATCTTGTTTTTATTGAATTAATCTTTAAATAATATAACATATTAGTCTGCCTAATAATTTGTAATTAGCGAGTGAGTGTATTTTTGTTTCCTAATTCTGTGGGCAAGTTCAAAATGAACAAGAAAGTGTGGTCACCATCATGTCTATCTGGTCAATCTCCGCGATCAAACAAAGGAGAACCTTTGGGTGGAGCCCACTTTTTCGACACGTGTGTGGCCTTCTCCAATCCAACACAGCACCAAAACTTTACAGACTGTGTTGCATTGAATAGGGCATTCACATGGGTCCAAAACACAGACTTCTCCAATAAATAAGCCCGGTCAAGGATGAAATTTCACAATATTTTCAGTTTTCTTTAGATGGAAAAACCTACAAAAAATTGAATATATATGGCAACGCATAAAGGTCCCCCTTTTGATCCTTCATCAATCTATGAACCAACGATCCAATTGGAAGCTTTACTAATTGATTTTTCACCCACTTTAGGCAAGAATATACTTGCAAGTAAATCGTGTTAGATTGTGCTAGTTGTTGAATCTAATTGAGAGGATCCATTTTTTTTTTCAAAGACGTCAATCTTTTTGTCCCTACGGACTATCAACGCACATTATTTTGAAAGTTAGCTGTAGAATGGATTTAAAATACCGCCAGCCCATTCGAAAGATGAAACTTTACATTACACAATTAGCAATACAAACAATAAAAATATGCAAATTAAGATAATAAGGTTTGATAATTCAGTGTCAACGTGAATAAAACTTCCTCGGTTCGAAAAAAAGGGGAAAGGAAAAGAGCTCGACAGAGGATCACCTAGATAATAGAGTAAAACACCAGGTAGGTTAAGCAGTCTGATTATTATAATCGGTACAGATCATATCCATCCGAGCATATTACAAAAAAAATAATAATAATAAAATAAAAAACTAAAATGATTGATTACTATTCATTATATTACTTAAAATACTGTTGATTCAGATTTAGTGATATTATTCATCTAAGTTCATATGCATAATTTTTTTTTATCATGTAATAATATTTTTATAGTTTTTAAATATTTTTAATATATTTATTATAAAAGTTTATGTGACATTACACTTTAGTTTTTTCTTTTTAAATACTGTTTTTTTAGTTTGTAAATATTTTTTGTTTCATTTCGATCCCTCTTTTTTGTTCACTGTGGTCTTTTTTTCTGATTTTTTTAATAAAAAAAATTTAAGGGAAAAATGTTTAAAAAATAAGTTATAAAATAAGTTTTTAATTAAAAATCCATCTATTTTGACATTTTTATACCATTATAAATTTTTAGTTTGTGGATAGAGATAAATAGTGTTTTCTTAATAAAAAAAATTATGAAAAATATAAAGAATAATCAGTTAAATAAAAATTTTTGATTAAAAAATTAAACGAATTTTTATTCATTTTTGACATTTTTTATACTATTATAAATTTTTTAGTTTGTGGATAGAGATAAATAAATAATGTTTTTTTAATAAAAAAATTTATGAAAATATAAAATATAATAAGTCAAATACAAAATTTTGATTAAAAATTTATAAAATTAAATGAATTTTAATTCAATTTTGATTTGATATATGTACAATATAACATGAAATATTAAATTAAAATAATTTTTAAAAAATAAATTTATGTGTTCTGTTCAATTCACAGCATAGCATGAATAAAAAAATTAATTGGTCCCTATAGTTGGAAAAAGATGATGACTACTTGTGCAATAGAATTTAAAAAAAAATCGAGTAGTAAATGGAATTCCGAAAATTTTTGCCTCGTTATTTGATTTTCCTTGCATGCAGGCGCCACGGGAAAGTAATCACAAAGGAAAAGTAAAATCCCAACAAGGAGTAGCATTCTCTGACTCCAAAATAGAATTTTATGTGTCAACTGAAACGAATTGTATTAGTTTTGTCCTTGGTGAAATTTATCTCTCTTTTCTTTTTCTTTTTGAACAGAAAGCATAATGTACCTTGAACTACTGAACAATGAGATACTAATCTTCTCGATCCCATCCCTAAGTATAATTTAATGTGTCAAGTGAAATGAATTGTATTAGTTTAAAAAAAAGGAAAGGAAAACAATTGAAAGCCATCAAAGTTGAAGGCTTTTTCAAACTACTGATTCTTTCTTTGGCAAAATTTATTTCTTTTTTCTTTTTGAATAGAAACCACCAATGTCCCTAGACCTAAACAACGAGATATTAATCTTCTCGATTCCGTCCCCAAATAGAATTTTATGTGTCAAGTGAAATGAGTTGTATTGGTTTTAAGAAGGAAAAGAAAGACAATTGAAAGTCATCAAATTAAAAACCTTTTCAAGCAACTGATTTTGTCCTTTTCAAAAATTTTCTCCTTTTCTTTTTGAACAGAAAGCACCAATATACCTTGAACTGAACAATGACAAAATTATCTAGTCGATCCTGTCCCTAAATCTATCTCCATTATGTGCCACAATTCTTTTATTTGTTATTCCTTTAAAATAAAAAATCAACACTGTTTGGTTAAAATCGATTAACCGAACTAAACCAAAACTAAAATATCAATTTGATTTGATTTCTGATTAATTTAATTAAAAAACAAGATTGACTTAATTTTTATCGTTCGGTTTTTATTATATTTTTAATTTTTTTAGTTTGGTTTTTATCAAATGTCGATTTTTTTAACATGCTTGAACTTTTAATTTTTATTTAAATTTTGATAATTAATTTACAATATGATTAAACAATCAATAATTTTTTTTATCATTATATGTTTTAGAAGTGAATGAGTTGATTTGTAGTTAAATTTTGATATTTTATTATATAATATAGTTTTGTACTTTAATCTTATTTAAACAGATATTTATTATTTTTTATATAGATTAATTTAGACCATTTGAATTTAAAAAGAATTTATAATCCATAACATAATTTTTTAAACTAATTTATATTATTTTAAAACCAAATTAAAATTTGATTCTATTTCTATTTTCTTAACAAATTTGATTTAATTAAAAACTGAAGGTTCGCCTTTATTCACAACCACAAATCCTAACATTCGTTTGTTACTAAAGAAACAAAGCAGTTGCATGATGCAAGTCTATCATGCTGGCTTAATGGGCCCAAAGATTTTGACTTTTCTCTAAAATCGAACATAAATCCTCTTGCGAGATTTCTGTAGCAACTGAACTACGCATGTGAGAGAATTTGAAGCTAGAACACATTAAAAGTCGCAAATTCTTGACTAGCCAAGTGATTCTATAGAGATTTCGGGCAAAAAAAAACCTTGACTCTCACAGTCTTCTGAAGTTCGTGAAATGCACGATCAGAATCATGTAATATAGCCAAATTGAAGCATAATTAATAAAGTCGACTCAAGTAAAATTAACTGGAGAATATATATAGTTTGGGAATTAATTATTTACGTGGAAAATGCATGTAATGTTACAAGAAAATAGGGCATTGGGGTACTCGAACTAACTTTTTGACGGCTTGAGGCAATAGGTACACCAAATCATATATATTCCATACTAAATATATACCATACTTCCTTTTGCAAAAATGGAATAAGGAAATCGAGGAGGTGACCGCTCTCTCAACCCGTACAGATGATATCTGATCTTCTCTGAGTGTTGTTATGATGGCTTATAGCACCATGCATGGATGCAGCTGCTAGCTAGAAAGGAGCAGCTGGAGTGATTTTAACGGAAATAAGAGTAGGAGTCGTTGGAGTTTATGGATGGAATTAGAAAACTGAATTTTCTGAATTCATATAACCTTAAATTTTATTTCTAACACTTAATAATTACTTAGGAGTTTTTTTTTTTAATGGTTTTAAATTTTAGAATAAATATATATGCATGAGAAATAATTTTTTTAAATAAATCAAATCAATATGAGAGTTGTGTACAGAAGATCGTTAATTAACAACTGAAAACAGGTGTTGTAAATTTTCGTCTGTTCTTGATTAGCGGTTCACTGGTGATGACTACATAAACCAATCACCCTGTAAAGATTATAATCTGTTGTTGGGTTTAATATTGCAGATGATGGCGAAGCAGAAACAAGAACTGATTCTTTCTCCTCGATCAAATCCCTTCGATCCACTTGGGTAGTCCCCCACTCCCTTAAATCTTCCCACGTGTAGCAAGCACATCACTCACACATGCCATGTCTCTCTCTCCCTCTGTGTGTCTTTTACTTTCTGTGAGATCACAGCTTTTTAATTCAAAGCTGATGATCTCTCTTATCACTCATTTGAGTACAACAGTCTTCCATTCAATCAATGCTCTGTCTCTCTCATCATTCTCTTCTTTCAAAATAGGTGTAAACCCCAACCAAATCTCTGCCGATTTGCCTTCTCCCTTATATCTTTCCCATACTCAAAAACAGCCAAGTCCCCTAAATACAACTGTACTGTTCTGGACAAAGAGAGACAAGGTGGACTAGAAACAAGCAGCAGTACAAATTAAATTTGTTAAACAAAGAAAGGAAAGATGGAAAATGGCGGGAACAAAGGTCAAGAAAATGATCACGCAAATCTTGCTTGGGGTATATGGGGGCTTAATACTTCAAGATTTGACTTGGTTAATAGTAGTAGTAACACTGCTACTGACACATTCTTCACCACCGCAGCTACTACTGTGGTGGACAACGGCAGCTCCACCCACCCAGAAGCCGCTTCTGCACATGGGTTCTTGTTTCCTTACCAAAACAGTTGGCTATACCACCACAACAACAATAACAGCTATCAGCAGCTCTCTCTTTATGCTGGAGACGGGTCCAACTTGCACCCGGACCCACACCTAATGTGCCTGAAGCTAGGCAAGCGACACTACTTTGAAGATAGTACTAGTAACAACAATATTAACAATAACAACCACAACCCAGTGATCAGTGACCGACACGAGATTGGTGGGTTCTCTACAGGCAAAAAAGGCAAACCCTACTACACCGTTGGTAGTGGTGGGGCTGGTCAAGACGGACCCTCTTCCTCGTCGGTGAATGTGCCAAGGTGTCAGGTAGAGGGTTGCCATGCGGTGTTGTTGAATGCTAAAGATTATCACAGAAGGCATAAAGTTTGTGAAATGCACTCAAAGGCTCCTAAAGTAATTGTCCTAGGTTTGGAGCAGCGTTTCTGTCAGCAGTGTAGCAGGTAACGTTAGCGTTTCTCACTGTCTCTCAATTATAGCCAGCTGGCTTGTTTTTGCCAACAGTAACTGTTCCTAGATTTTTGGGATTTTACAAAATCTGATGTAAAGTGACATTTTTAGCCTGTAATGGTAATTGCCCAATGGGCTTGTTGATGAGATTAAAAGTGGGGTTAACTTGTTATCTGTGTAGGTTTCATGTAGTGTCCGAATTTGATGATGCAAAGAGGAGTTGTAGGAGGAGATTGGCAGGGCACAATGAAAGGAGAAGGAAGAGTTCTCAGGATTCTGTTTCAAGGAATTCTTCTCAAGGTATATGTGTAATGTCCTTTTAATTGACTTGTTTTGTAGCTCTTTGAAAAAGCAGTCAGTTTTGTCTTGTTTTTCAATTCTTTCTATGTACTAATTCAATTTCCATTGTTAGAATTAGATGATGATTGCTACCTTGTTTTCTAAAGACTTGTCAGGAATAAGCCCTTTTGTTGTTTGATCAAGAAAATGAAAAGGCCCTTTTTTCCCCTTCTAATTTTCAAATCATGTTTGAACTTCAAAATCCAAGGTTTAATTAGTATATGGTTCTTTATCTTTCTTTTTGCCCAAAATAATAACAATCATGAAGCCGAAATTCGAATTAATGTAGTAATTAGCTGCATCAGATGTTGAATTAAAGGCCTGCAACGGTGATTTTTTGAACTTTGCTGGTAATAACAAAATGATAATGGATAATACAATATTTCCTTTCTGAAATTTTATTTTATGGAAAGACTTATCATTGGAATAGTGCATGCATTTAGTCTGTTCAGATTCTTCATAGTTTAGTTGGTACGTCAACTAGCACGATACCCATCAGTGACCTGGGTTTAATTCTGCTCATACCAGGAAGGGAAGAGTTTTAGAAGAGATCAGGATGATACCTATTGAGTCCCTCAAGGAGTCTCTTAATCAATTAACGAACAAAAAAAAAGAAAGTTACTACTATTATGACTACATAGTCTAGGGTTTGAATCTTAGAACTTCCATTAATTTTAATGTTGGATTATGAAAATTTGCTTTTCTTCCTCTTATTATTATTTACTTGAACATTCGGAGAGCAGATGTTTAAATTTTCAACCTGCAATGTATTCTGAACTCGTGGCTTTCGCCTTACGGAGAAAGTGTAGATACAGACGACGTTAAGTTTAAGGCTCAAATTGCAGAGATTGCTTGCAGACGTGTTACCTTAATCACCTGAAGTAGAAGACTGTTTTTGGGTAGCTGACAAGTGGTTTTGGTTATAATATAATGATAATCTTTATGCTTTATTTGCTATCATTAATCATCAGTGAATTGCATTGATATGGACAATGCAGTTGAAAATCTATGAACATGAAACAAACTGAATGGCCAATTTCCTCCTCAACAGACAAGTTGATAGCTGGGAGATTTCCATACATAGCGTCACCGACAGGATTTGCTCTCTCTCTTCTGTCATCAAAGGCTGATTCTTGGGTTTCTCCATCTGATCTCTCCTCAAGATCAAGTGCTGCGCTACGGGAATTGATTGCAGAACACCGTGCAACCATTCTAGCTAGACAGCTTTTCCTTGAAAAGCACTTGGACCACCATGCAACGGAAGACCTTGGTGAGTCCCAGCCTGGCTCCAATTTTTTCATAACCCATCAGCATGAAATGTTGTCCGAGCAGCACAACTGGGGCCGGTTCAACGACGCCAGCACGCATGTGACTTTGGACCTCATGCAGACTCCAAGTTCAGCATTTGGATTCTTGTCTGCCAGAGCTAAAAGTAAAGAAGAGGAAGAAGAGTGTTCCGAGTTATGGAGCACCTTGGAAGGAGCCCATGTAGTTTAAAATCTGCAACACTTATTTTATTATCTTGCTTTTAGTGTAAGTTAATTGTTTGGTCACTTAGGCTGATGGATCATTAAGTTGATCTTGCTGTATAATTCTTTCTTATTGTTTGACACACACATATATATACACTTCTTCTTTTTTTGGTTTTTTTTTTTTTTTTTGTTTCTCTAATTTGTACTATGAGTTTCATAGTTTATTTCAACCATGTAGAGTGATTGGAATAACGAATGCACTTAGAACAATTTGCCAATCGAATCTCTGTATTTCTTTCAAGTTGCAGTAGCTGAAAATTGTTGATCAACTTCAAAACTAATTTTAAGGATAGCTGATTATACATGTAAGTTTATAGAAGAGCTTAAACCATTTTTCTTATTTTTAGGTTTTTAACGATAAGTATATTTTTTAATTAGTTTTCTTACATCAAAACTTAATCTCTTTTTAATTGGATTTTAAATAAGAATATTTACATATGAATTTGTGTAGTAAAAAAAAAAAAAAATTCGTAAAGCCTCTCTAAGATTGAACCTTAGAATGTTTTAAATAATTAGATGACACACATAAAATGTATCATTTCATTTGCCTTTCCATTACATTGCACTACAATACGCTGTTTGCATGCTTTGCTGACCACTGTTATTGCAGTGCTCTGCGAACTCAAACTAATTCATGAGTAAACACGAATGGATCACATGGATTAGGATTGAAATTGTTTAGTTGGTTAATAGTAGGACCTCGGTGTTATTAGTTTATTATCAATTTTTGTAATAAACCACTATAATATGATTGATTTAATTTACACATACCACATTTATAAAATAATTTTTCTACTACAAGAGATGATCAAAATGAAGTTTGCATTCTCTCTCCGTCTCTGCAATTTTTTTTTTTTATTTGATAAGAAGTCAGATTAATCGATTTTATGCTTTTACGATAAATTAAGGGTGTTTTCTCTCTGTAAATCTTCACGATTTTCAATTTTCAATGGAAATCCAAATCTTAACTAGCTACTAGATGTCAAGCTTTTGGGATTCTCTCCCTCCTAAAATTAATTGATTGCTAAGGCTTGTTTATACATATCAAGCATGCCCTTAGATTTCAGTTGTGCCACGAAAAAAGCAACTCAAACCGGTGCTCTAGTTTTGGAAAATGTCTGCCAAAGCATATGCTAGAACAAAGTTTCTTTCTTTAAATTAAAGCCCGAAGCAAAGTCGGACTGCCTGCCATAAAGAAGAACATATTGGAAAACCTTTCGGATCGTCGAAGAAAAAAAGGAGAAAGGGTTCCTCTCCTTCTTTTAATTAGGCAACATCACCACTAGCAACTCCACAACTTTCAAAGTCGGCATCAAAAAGTTGAGTTGCTAATATGACAAGCAGGACTATCTAGGTCACGGAGAAGATGAAAGGAACTGACACCTGAAGAGATAAAAAGCATCCTATGTATGTATGAAAGACACTTCGAATGCCAAATAGAATTGAAAGGAGGTTAAAGCAAAATTTCTCATAATCTTCAAAAGTTCATTGAAGCCAGTCAAGTTTCTTTCTCAAAGTGCATGCCTACAATTCCAAGTTTCAGAAAGTGTCCTTTGTAACCAAAATTAGTATGAGATCCCACGACTTGTCTATTGATAGTTACAAGACTAGTTGTTTTCAAAAGTTGCTTGGTGCTGAAGGCTTAGAAATTATCATCACGCCTCAAAACAACTATTGTGTGCCCACACAACATGCACTATTGATCTTTGTCATGTCACTAATGATATATAGTACTCCTTTTATCAATGTCGAATATATATGGACCACCACCATATCACATTTTTCGGCACAAGAGATAGAGATTAAGCACCTAGCTAGGCAAACTATGAACAAAAACAATCCCTATGCAAGAATTTGGGAAGCAGTAATTGCCCATTTAATCACCGCCGAACTAGCAATTGTGAAACTCTTAAAATACCCTTGTTGAATTTTCATGGCTTGGTTAAGTGCCTTAAACAAATTTTGTTAGATTTTTTTTTATAATAAAATCTAATAGTATGAGTTTTTCTTTTTCTTTTTCCATCCCCAGACTAGCTTGTTTGTCAGCAAAAGTTTTGGGAGTTTATTTCTTGAACGATTTTAAGAATACACTCCTCTATTTACTCCATCTTGATCGACCTGATATATTTCGAAGAATTTCTCCTCAATATTGTTCTCAATATTCCAATTTAGAAACTGTGCAGAAGGCAACTAAAACAGTTTTTTTTTTTTTTTTTGTGTTTTAATTTTCTCTCTCTTCTGTTTTCTTCTCATGCATGGCATATATAATAGAAGCAAAGGGTTGGGGTACTGATTGAGTTGCATCTTTAATTTAATCACATTAACTATACCTTGAAACTTTGCCTGTTCCTGACAATTAAATTGTGCCGGTTAAAGTAAGAACATCTTTTTGCCTCCTTTAATTGGTCAGTAGGTGAAAAAGTAAATTCACATATTGTTGGAGGCTTCAACAGATGTTTTTACTTTTTACCATTCCAACTAAGGTAGTTGTTTTCCTTCAATTGCTTACGCAGAGATAGCGTGCTAAAGGCTAAAGATCAGACCTATTTGTGTAGAGGTTAAGAAACTCTTACCATGACTTCAACAAAACCTAATCACCAATGCTAGCTCCAAGACAACTTCAAAATCTGAACAAGAATTTTATTTATTTATTTCTGTGTTAATTCATTGCAAGGCCCATATAAATAAACTTTATTTTTTCCAGTAATATGTAAGTCTATAAAAAAGGAATTTACCTTACTCTGCTATATCTTACACGAAGAAAAGAAAGTGGTAAGCTCTAGCTACCAATGACAAGTAAAATTAACAGAATTGGGCATGAAAATAGACCCATCTGTCTCCTCCTTTGTTTTAACTAAAATTAACCAAGGTATAATGACCTCTCCCCTTTTAAGCCACCACATTCTTGTCCAGCTGTGGACGAAGTCCCACCACCACAAAGTGGGCAAAAGACAATCGCTAAATCTTGATCACGTGCAGTACACGTGAACCTGCAAAACACATATCACCCAAAAATCAGTTGCAACCCCACAGTGGAGCTACTAACCTAAAGAAAGTCTCCACGTGCAAAGGGTTTGAAAAGTATTCTCCTCCTTCCATGGACAGTAGCAGTGGAGTTAGCAGTTGCATTTATTAATGGGCTCCACATTCTCATCACAAAGTTTATGATGATCAGAGTAGTGGGGCCCAACTACATTGATGAGAGATGAAGAAAAGATCAATTTGTGGTGGGGGCTCACACAAAAATTGGGGATTGGGGAGCTGGTGCAAACGCTGCACTTGTTCCATGAGGCAAGGCAAATGTACCTTTCATACCTCTGTCTTAAAAAGAAGTTTCACGTTCAATTTCATAGACACCAAAATAATGGACCATTTTTTTTTAATGAAACTACGTACTCTTATCACTAATTCCCTACAGCTAGTGATAATTGGAGGAGGATTTGTAACTTGCTAAATTGATTATAGCTATTATTACTTAAATTAAATTCTCCATTCTAGATTAAGTTTTCATATCATTTATTTGTTTAGATTGTGTTTGATATGATTTTTTCAAATTGATTTAAACTTTTTTTTTTAATTTAAGGAAAAAGTCTCAAGTATATTTGGTTAAAACTAACTTTTGACTTATGAATATTTTTATTTATTTTTATCATAAGCAACTTTTGAATTATGACTTAAAGTTAAAGATTCATTTTCGCAAGTCATGCTAAACATATTCGTATTCAATTACTTTATGCAGATTGACTCAAATGCACTCCAATTAAACTGGAGTAATTGTTTTGCTGACTTTTTATATTTTACTCCTTTCCTCTTTAACCTATTTCTTTTTCTTTTTCTTTTCTTTTGGGTTGGGTTAATGGCTGTGGTTCTTCAAATTAATTTCGGGCTTCTAGGTCGAGATTACATTGTGCTTGGGGTTAGGGTGGAAAGTGAGGCAAACAATTTTGGGACAGAAGAAAATAAAATATAAGAGGAAAGTACACTGTCCTTTATTTGGGAGGATCAGAAGAGGAAAATGTGCAGATAAAATTGAAAGGGGCAACTATATGTGGTCTTGAGACCGGAGAGAGAATGAAAAAAAAACATATAAATTTACAGATTTATTTTCTCTGTATAAAAAAAAAATCTAATCTAATATAAAAGGCAAAAGGTTATAATTGTAATTTCTCATTATCATTTTCTTTCCCTCACTAACTCCTCTCATTTTTAAACAAGGAAAAGTACGTGATTCCACCTCCCTCCCCTACTTTAATCCTCTCGCATTCCTCTCCACCAAACACGAGGGAAATATTTTTTTTTCTTTATTTTACTCCTCTTCACTTTCTTACTTTCTATTTTCTTTCTGATCCTAAATAAAATAATTTGTGAAATTTTATTTTTCAAAATCCAACTTAAGATTTGAACCATAGTAATTAAGTAATATATCCCTTTAACTATCAGCAATGCCCTTGAGGTTTCTAATCATTGGCCCATTTCAAAAGCCATTAGCGTAGTTTAATTTGTCTTAATTTATAGTAGGTTAATTTTTTATTTCCATACAACTTGAACAATTTTCAACTCGAGATCTTGTAATTTCAATTTTTCTAGTGTCAATTCTAGAATTTTGTATATTTTCCCTTCCTTTTTTTTTTTTGAAAAATAAATTCTTTTTTTTTAACATTTTGTATGTTTGTATACAATCGTTATCCCATTGAATTCTATATAAGTAATTTTGGGAATTCAATCATATATTTCTTATATTTAAATAATTCAATTTACCTAAACTCACTTGTTAATGAATTGAGTTAATTTTGTTTGGATACACGAGGAGAGTATCCAGAAATACATAAATAAGAACTTTATCTTTCTCTTTCTTTTTGGAATAAAATGAGAACTCGTTGAATTGCACTGTTGCAATTAAAGTGTTTTCTTTTACCATCTTAATTAACCAAACAGTCCAAGTTAAGGAAAAAGAGACCCCCTCTTTCCTTGAACAAGGCAAGGGACCAAGAGGACAAAAATTTGAGGTGAAAGTTGCGAGAAAGTGACCTTTCTCCAAACTTTTAGAGATACGATACATAATATTAGATTTTCGTTGGTCCACTTTAAGGAAATATCAAATTTATTGATTGATGAAGGAAGGTTAGAAGTTATCAATAATTGATTATTTTGAAACAGTTTTTATCATTCACCAAGGTTTCTTTGGCGCCCAAAAGGAAAGTCACTTGCAAATTTTACAAGGACAGGTAGATAAATTGCCCCTTAGCATAACCCTCAATCTTAATGTATTTAATGGAATTGAAGGATGAATTTAATTTAAATATGTAAAACTTGTTTCGAAAATATCTGATTTCGAATGTAAAATTAATTAAAAAAACAAAACAAAAACCGCAACACATAATCGGAAAATTTTGCCATTTAACTAGGCATATATCCACTCACCCGACAGCATGTACTCATAAAAGATTGGGGGTGAGGGCTCAGAGTCTAAGGATTTTGGCACCGTCATGTCAAAAGATTTTCGATCCTGCGAAAGGAAGGAAATTTCCTGGAATTTGATCAAGAGTGAGACAAATTCATGCAGAAGTTTCTTGCCAGTATCTAGTAGGTCAATCCCATCAGTTATCAAATTCCCTTCGATACTTGTTAGATTTGAGATAAGGACTGGATGCAGTTCAGCAACGACAAATAGAAGGATGTTTAAGGTTGTCTTTATTCTTGGCTAATCTCTGTTTTTTTTTTTTTTTTTTTGCCCCCTTTTTCCTTCTTTTCTTTTTTAAATAAAGGTTCGGGTATTGACCCAACTTACTATACATCGGTTTGAATCTAATATTTATGCGCCACAAAATAAACAAACATGTTTAACTTGCCTATGCCGTTAACAAAACATCTTAGTAATAGTCAATTTATTCATTCTTCATAATTTCTCTGTATTGTGGAACGATGGATATTTGAGAGGAATAGTTATATATATATCTCTCTTTTTTTTTTTTTTTCTTTTTTTTTTTTTCACTTTGAGCTCGCAAACGGTATTTTTTAGAAATATATTTTATGAGAGGACATTAATTTACTTTTCAGTTGGATAAATTTAGTGGAAGATAAACTATCCGCATGAGAATTTAAAAAATCCATGGAGATTTTCTTTTCATGACTTGATATATATTTAAACATTCGTTTTCTTTTCTTCTAAAATTTTATGTACAATAACCATGCCATTGATTGGAATAACATTGGACATTCAAAATTATTAGAAGCCAAAAAGCAAGGATTGAAAAAAAAAAAAAAGAATTGCTCTTTTTGGGTATGTAGTTTAAAGTTCATTTGATCATCCTATTAATATTAAGAATACACTTTTCGAATAGAGCCATCTATAAAAATTTGGGGGTTAATGATGGGCCCAAATCAAGCTTCAAAATCAATTTCTCGTAATTGACACATAAAGATAAAGATATTTAATTTCGGGTTACAAATAACAAAATCAATTTCTCGTAATTGACATATAAAGATAAAGGTATTTAATTTCGGATTACAAATAACCAAGTGTGTTAGAGATGATGTAGTTTGATTCGAAATCTTCTTAATTGTTTTTGTCTTCTCTTTTGAAACCAGATAAATTCTCAAAATATGGCTCCTAAAAAGCATAATAAACAAATACTAAACAAGTACAAAACTGAATAGGTAAGGACCCACAATTAAATTTCGTCGAAGGTGCGAAGAGGCTTCAAAATCATTAAAAAGGTATGCCAGCATAACATGTATAGTGGCTAGGATAATATGTGATGGTTCCCTGAGAAAACTTTAGCCCACAATCAATTGTATGCTATCTAATAAAATAAACTTTATAATCTATGATCCACTTCCCAGTAACTTTGTCATATGATTAGTCCAATCTCGGTCAGAATCACACATGCGCATAATGTGTTGTCCTACGAGAAATTAATGATTCCGAGTTCTTAATGGCAATCAGGAGAAATCACTATTAGATTACCGGCTCTCTGGTAATAATTAATTAATAAAATATATCTGATGTATTTTTATTTGGTAACGTATATGAAGCATGTGTTTTCATAAAAATATGTTTGGTTTGAAAAAATCTTAAATTTGATGTATTTTTAGATTTTTTTGTAAGAGTTCGATATATATATATATATATAAGCCACTTGAAAAAGGATCAGATATTTAAATAAACCGATCTTGTAGGATTTTTAATGTGGTCAGAAAATTTTATCCCCCGACCTGGATTATGTGAACCAAAACACTTGGATTGGCTGGTGTAATTGAACAGATGTTATTACTACTGACTGTGATTGGTTGTGGTTTCGTTCGCATGGACCAACTCTTGTAATAATTTTTTTTGTGTATCGAGAGTTCCTCGTGAATTAGATCCAACTGAATTTTTTTTTTCATTTACTCATACATTATCATGATTATAGACAAATGTCATATCAATTTGGTAATATGATCATGATCAAAACAGCAATTGCTAAATCAAAGCAATCGAGCTTACTAAACTAGTAATAATTGTTCTATAAGTGAATAATAAATACAAAAAAAAAAAAAAAGCGAGCAAAGAAAAAGAAAAAGTTAAAAAAAAATCATTTCCATGTTTAGATAAAAATATTCATATTATTTTTAGTGATATATATTGTGATGTTTTTTTCATCTTTGTATTTGTCTTTTAAGTGAAACCATAAAATAATTATTGGTAGTTGTTTTAGATTTTTTTTTAATTATACACTAAAATATTTATATTTACTCTGGACATACATATATTGGAGTAAATACCTGCAAAACTCTTCGTTAAATTAGATAATAAGTTTACTAAAAATAATTTGCAAATTCTACTTGTAATTATTGTTTGCTATTGGCCAAAGGATCAATGCACATCAATTAACCTTCACATGCAATCCTACCTCCAGGACAAGAAAATCGCAGTAGAAGTAGGCAAAACCACCAAACCCTCTCGAATATTGGTGTCTTCTTACGTCCTTGAGGCAACACATTGGCCATATCCATTTAATTTAAATTATTAAATTCAAATTAAATGGATATGATTTAGTACATAATAAAAATAAAAATAATTAAACTATTTATTATTATTATTTTTTCATCTATCTAAATTACTGAATTCAAAACAAATAGTATGCATGTATTCAAATTAAGAAACATGAGATAATACAAATCCATAAAAATATACGATGCCTCCGAATTTGACCTTCAAGATTAGCCGAAAAAACGAACACAACCTTGCTCGCAGGACTTTCACCTGGTCTGGTAGGTACAGCTAGAGGTAACGTGGCTTATGGGCTGCCTTAACATTTTCACAACTTCAACACTTCCTTCCAGATTTAGGATAAAAACACAAACAGAGACCGAAAGGACGGCAAAAGAGAGAGAAGCTCATTTGGGCTAAGTTCTAAATGATTATAATAATTAACATTTACTAGCCAAGTGTGTATGCTTATTGCAGCTTCTCATCGGTACTAGCTAGAAGACAACTAGATCTCCTTTCTATAATATATTCTTTGAAATTTAATATCGCATGCATGTTCGTTTTTCGGTTTTTATTCATGTTTAATTTACAGCCCTTTTCGTGGTAAGTATCCGACAAAGGGATAATAATGGAATGCCCTAAATGATAATAATCCTGCATCCCCGTGCCTATCTAACCATTTCGGAAACCAAACAGATACTTCTATTAGAAAAGTCATCCTGGCAGTGATTACATTTTTCCTTTTTATAGATACCTTCCAGTAAATGCAGAAAAATATATGAAAGGTATACTACATAAATAGGTATTTTACCGCTTGAGGAGAGAAAAATATTAGCAGAGCAGAAACTCCATTTGATTTGTACTAACACAATCAAAGAGTGAGCATTAATGAACAATAATTAATTAAGAGTGGGTAAATTAAGACGAAGAAGAAATAAATGCAACACTTGAGTAACATTATGTTACTGCTTAGTTAATTTTAAATCCTCCTTAATTCATTTCATTAACATTTTTTACCCACTTGGGAAAAACAGTGAGCTTGATGATGTAGAAGAAGCAGTGGCTTGATACGATCTTTGCTTGAAACAGTCCAAAGACATTCGAGGAGGGGAGACCGCCACAGTCACCGATGAAGTAGAATGAGCTCCAGAGTCCGGTGGAGACCCTATAAATTTCCATACAGAAAAATAAAAAATATATAAATATATCATTGAAATTAATTGATTTCCTTTATATCTCTCTCACACACACTTCTTAAGGAAAAAACCAAGTTAAAACTTTAAAATTATTAATGTATGAACAAATTAATGGTATATAGGATTAATGATTTATGGAAAAAAAAAGTTAATCCGATTGATTCAATAAGACATTAGTCTGCAAAGAAAAATTTGTTAAACGTGATGAACATGGCAAATGGATCTTACTTGTAAGAATTTCAGATGAGGAATTAGTGGCATTTTCTAGCTGTGATTTCTGATTTTCTTGATTTATTTGGTGCGATTTTCGCCTCCGGCGATTGTGATCAGCCAATCTCTTTCTGCAACTACGCTTTCCATTATCAAATTCTGAGAGAAGATGAAACCTGTACAAAATTTTTAAGTAGCTTAGCACTATAAATTAATCAAAACCATACTTAGTGTCGCTAATTAATTACATAGTGTCTAGACATGTGAAGAAAAACAAACAACAGTACGTAAAAGAAAATTATGTACTCCATCAAGAGTATACGGACACAAATGCCCTCGGGATTCCACATGTACGGCACAACCAATCATTGGCAGCAAAACATAAGTCCGGGGGTATTATCGTCAGGTGAGTGTTTTTCTGACCGTGTCCGGGTGTCAATGGCAGAAAAGGACTGGACTGGACATTGAAAATAACAAAGAATGTGGAGGTTGTTTCTGTAATTCTATTAAACTCCATTCCATCAATTAAAAGAAAATTCAGGTACGTAATGCTGCCACGATATAAGAAGCAAAAAAAAAAAAAAAACGGTACGTAAAAACGGAAAGTATATTTGACGGACTCAAATGCCCTCGGGATTACCCCAAGTACGGTCAACCAATCATTGGAATATCATATCATGAAAATATCACAGGGGCAATAGAGTAATTTCGGATCTCATCTCCGTCATCTTCATCATTATCAGTTGATCACTATCATCATCTAGAAAACGTGGAATAAGATGGAGAAAAATGCATGGGGAGGGTCTTAATGTAATTTCAAAAAGAACCTGCTACACTGCTGGCAGAATCGCTGAGTCAACCCGGCCGCGATGACAGTAGAAGCTTTAGAGTGGAACTCACAGACTTTATGGCGTCTATGGTAGTGTTTAGCATGCGTAAGATCAGCATTGCACCCTTCAGCTTGACATCTTGGAGCATTTGATGAAGAACCGGGATCAAGGGGTCTAGACCGGCGGTAAAGCCGGTTCACAAAATCATCCTCAGCCGAAGAAAAATAAGTTCTTCCCCCCAAATTTAGTCCTATTCTTGAAGTGATCAAATCGGAAGGCCGAGAAATTTCCTCGCTTTTTGGGATAAGGAAATAAGAGGTTGCAGTTGCGATCGATGTGACTGTTGGGATTGGGTCAAGGGAAAGGAGGGAGGGATGCGGTGTGGTGGAAAAAGAGGAGGCGCCGGCTCCAGCGTAAGCACGAGGATCGAAGAGGGAGTTGAAATTATGATGTGTAGCGTTGTTGGTAGTGGGGTGGTTCTGAAACATTAAGGTTGGAGAGGTTTGCTGAGGAATGAGGTTGTTGTCGTTGAAAGATTGAGTGGTGTAGTGATCGAAAATGTTAACTTGACGATTTTGGTCTTGTACTTCATGGTTGCTCGCAGCTTGTTCATCTCCTCCTGATAGCATTATTGTCGATGGGTTTCCCCATTCGTACTCCAACATTTTTTTCCTTGGATAATATAGAAATTCTTAATCAATCTAGCTAGCTTAATTTACCTGTAAAGAAACAAACAAAGAAAGAAGTTATGATCATCAAGACAAGGAGGGTTTTATATATAGATGACAAGAGAAGAGAAAAAGAAAAGAAAAGAAAAGAAAAGGTGCCGGGAAAGATTTGATCTTTGTTAATTGTTTGCTTTGATTTATGTTGAGTGGCTTAGGTGAAGTGGGTTTTTAGCTTTTTGAGAGGTAAGAGGGTCTTGAGGAGACATGTCGGTGTTAGGGTGGGCTTTTATGGGATGTTACAAACAGTTTATAAGCTGAAAAAACTCTCTCTCACCTATGGAAAACTGAGTCAGTGAACTGAAAGAGAAGGAGAGGATGCGAATTTCAAAAACACTAAATTTGCCATTTGCAAAGAGTTTCACGCTTTATTTTCTCTCTGTAACAGGGGTGTGCACATAATTAAACTCTCTAAGTCTCCATCTTCTAGCTCTCTCTCTCTCTTTTCTTTATTTAGCTCGCTGTCTATACTGAGACTTTAATGCCACAAAAACCAGTCTCTCTCTCTCTCTCTCTCTCTCTCTCTCTCTCTCTCTAAAAGGCTACACTTTTGGTACCAGTCTCTCTCTAGCTAGCTAGGTGAGAGTCTCTGAGACTGAGAGAAACTGAGTTATGAGGCGGCTTGTGCAGAAGAGGTAATTGGGAGGTGTGTAAGTAAATATGAAAACTAAACATTTTACCCGTTTGATGGCAACATATTTGTTGTTAAAGCGACTGCAATTGCAATGAAATTCTGCGTTAAGAGTTAAAACACATGGTTGGGGTTCCCCAACTAGTTGGAATTTATAAAAAAACAAAATTGGGTGTTTTCTACCTTGCAGTAAATGCTTAACAATAATAACAGTGTTGTTGTTTTTGGTGAAGGGGTGAAAATGCCACGCGGTTTCCTGCTAAACAACTTGGGCCTACTTGCTGTTTTGCCCTTTGCCAATTTTGATCAATTTGCACACAAGGGTCTATATTGTGACTGTTTATGTTTAAAGTTTCTGCTTCGCATTATTTAACGATTTTTTCTCTCGTTTTTTCACCATGTGATTTAAGAAATCAAAGGCAACTTGTGTATTTTGATTTAGATTATGATGAAGTGTTTTTGCTTCCTTTGATAATGATGGAATATGTTTTATGTGCATGTTAACCTTTCTAAACTACCATTAGAGGGGGGGGGGGGGGGAGGGGTTATTTTATTATGGTCAAAAATTAAGGTTTTATTTTCTACTATTCATAGATAATTAGTTATAAGTATTATTTAATATTATCAGGTTTGAGTTAATTTGACTTAAAAATAGTTTAATGATCGATCAAAAATTAAACGTTTTTTAAAGTTAATTTAGTTTAAAAAATAATAAATTTAGTCTTGTTTAATACAAAAACTAACTCGAGAAATTCTCATTATCGATAAATATTTTTTTCAAAAAAAAACAATTCAAGTACTTTTGATGTTTTTTTTTTCATCTAAATTTTTCATTGTGTTAATTATTGCCTTCTGAGCTGGAAACCAAACTAATTGTGGATAGAAGTTGTCCAAAAAAGAAGAGAACATGCATGATGGCCTGTAACTTGTGATTATAAATGGACCTTGTTTGTTACGGATAAAGGATTTATTAAGAATCAGGCTTGTGTGTGATTTTTTCTCTCGTTTTTTTTTCCATACTTTCACCATGTGACTTAAGAAATCGAAGGCAACTTGCGTATTTTGATTTTGATTTAGATTATGATGAAGTGTTTTTGCTTCCTTTGATAATGATGGAATATGTTTTATGTGCATGTTAACCTTTCTAAACTACCATTAGAGGGGGGGGATTATTTTATTTTGGTCAAAAATTAAGGTTTTATTTTCTACTATTTGTAGATAATTAGTTATAAGTATTATTTAGTATTATTAGGTTTGAGTTAATTTGACTTTAAAACAATTTAATAATCGATCAAAAGTTAAATATGTTTTGAAGTTAACTTAGTTCAGAAAATAATAAATTTAGTCTTATTTAATAAAAAAACTAGTTTGAGAAATTCTCACCATCGATTAAAAAAAAAACTCAAGTACTTGTGATATTTTTTTTCATTTAAATTTTTGATTGCGTTAATTATTGCCTTCTGAACTGGAAACCAAACTAATTGTGGATAGAAGTTGTCCCAAAAAGAAGAGAACAGTTATAAATGAACCTTGTTTGTTTCGGATAAAGGATTTATTAAGAATCAGGCTTGTGTGTGATTTGTGAGATAGGGTTACCTTTCTACTTCCTATACTCACTTGAGCTGCATAATTAGGGCAAATTAAGTTAAACTATGGCATAGTTCGTTGAACCTAAATCAAGTTTAGGTTTTAATTTCTTGCTCTTTGAGTCCGTTAATCTAAGTATTCAATTAATCCGGCCCGGGATATATGCTCTTCTTCTTTTTTGATCACGTCGGTCTCCTATATGCAAAATACATGTGAAGTGTGTTATGGTTGTTTTCGGTAAATAAAGAGAGTAAATTTCAATTTATTTCCTTCAAGTTTATATATTGTTTCAATTTCATATGAAATCTTTGATTTGCTTCAATAAATTGCCATATCTTTTACTTTTGTTCAAATCAGTTCTCACGTCTTTCGCTTTTGTTTCAACTTACCACCTTCATCTATTATTATCATATGAATAAATTTCAATTCCATCCCTAAAACTTGTGAAATATCTAAATATCATCCAAAAAAAATAAAGAAAAAAATTAAAATTAACAAAATAAAAAATATTTTTTATTAAAACAAATATTATAAAACTTGAGATAGTTAGTTTCTCGAGAAACTCTCAAATCCTATTAACTTTAATTCTCACTTGCCATTATTGTATTTTCATCTATCAATATCATGGTTAAATAAAAATTCAAATTAATTTAACTATCTCTCTTGTTATTGTTATTGTTATTGTTATTATTATTTTGTCAAAACCTTGACAATTACAATTCCTCTTAGGTATCATGTCCCTCTTTTTAAAAAAATAAGATATTGTCATCAAATAGCACTTTTGACACGTGCAAATAATTATGCTTTTGCTGGCGTCAAAATTGTCATATATTCAAGCTACCATCTCAATCATATGGGATTTCAATTTTTATTCTTTCAAAATTCTAGTTCAAGATTTTAATGGAAAATTGGACAAAAATTATAGATACAATAGCTAGTGAAAAAGTGTTTGGGAGGCTATTCTAGTGGCAGTTATTATTATTTTTTTTATCCTATTTGTTTTTAGTTTAATTTATCTTGTGTTGTCTAATGACTGACCTGTTAGATAGTGTTGATAAAAAAATATTTTTGTTATCATATTTTTTTTATTAAAAATATATTTCTTTAAAGATTTTTTTTTTAATTTCAATTTGTTCATTCTTATTTTCTCGGTTATGTTGATTTTTTATAAACTTTAGAGATGAGAATGAAATTTATATATAATGGAACAAAAATGAAAGATACATGGTTTAACTAAAACAAATAAAATTTTTTACGTAAAATTGAGACGATACTTAAACCTCACGAGGAAAAATTAAAATTTACCCATAAAGATAGAAAGGACAAAAAATCAGGGCAGCATACTCCAAACCCGTGAGGGGAAAAAAAAAAAAACTCATTAGCTTTTTAAAATGGATATTTTCTTATATGTTATTTATTCTTTAAAAAAATCCAAAAAAAATATTTTAAATCCTCATAAGAAAAATAATATTTATATATATTTTTTTAACATTTGAAATATTGTCATATTGATTTTACATATAAAGACTAATCTTTTTTTTTTTTTTGCCGAATTTTAGATAGATTATTTTCTATAGAACACATTGAGATGAGCAGAATTCAGTTTAAACTAAAAAATCAACCCAACCTCAATTTCTGTTTGGTTATTAACTCATTTTTTAAAATAAACCGAAATAACTTTGGTTTTTTTTTTTTTCAGTTCAGTTTTTGAATTTTGGGTTTGATCTGTAATGAAAACCATTCTTGTTATTTTTTATATTTAAAATTTTTTATTGTTATTTGAATTTTAGTAATTCGGTGTATAAGATATTTGAATAACTAATATTTTTTCTTTTATCATTATATATCTTAAATGTGTATTTGTGAACTTATATTTAAATTTTTATACTTTATTACGTGGTATAGTTTTGTGATTTAATCTTATTTAAATAAATGTTTATTATCTGTCATATAGCTAGGTTAATTCAGAATTTTGAACTAAAAAAAAAAAAAAAATCTATAGTCCATAACACAATTTTTGGGTCCATTTACATTATTTTTAAAAAATTTAAAAAGTTTGAAAAAAATGGACTTTTTTTTTAGTTTTAATAGAAAAACCAAAAAAAAAAAAAAAGAAATTTCCTTTAAAAAACAAAAATCAAATAGTCAATTAGTTAAAGTTCGGTATTTTTTTTGAGTTCAGTTAATAAAAACCGAATTAAAATGTTGAAAACAAAACTAAAAAACCAAATGGTCATCTCTAGAAATCGAGGCTCCATAAGATCAAACTATTCTATTCGATTCACCAGTTAACACAATCGATTCAAGTAATTTTAACCAACATTGAGGATTTGTTTATTTATGCAGAAAAATAAGGAGTTAATATTTAATAGGTCAGGGTTTGGTAGGGAATGAAGGATTCCAACTGTTAGATTAATTGCTTATTTTATCATTATTTTTTGAGAATGTGCTTATCTTATCAGTAATTTTTTTTTATTGACCTATTAAATTATTCTTGCCATGTTACGCCAAGCTAATAAAAGTCGGCAAAAAGCTAAGACCAATGGACATACTTGATCTTCCGAGAATGTTTCAAGTTGTCGGCGACATATTATCACATTGACGAAATTGTCCTCCAGCATAGTCTTGCAATGTGTTCTACCAATGCCTCCTACCGTTCGACATAAATTCAGTTCTTGTTCCATAGCAATAGCAGTAGCAGTAGCTACATTATTTAACCCCC